TCTGCTATAACGACACAACTAAAAATTTCATATATTTCAGTAGAGCCAATTAAATATTTTTTGTTTCGTAATTTAGCAATAATATGTCTTGGAACGTAATTATTCCGGATTATTTGCAGTCATACTGTCATCCGCCTTGATGTTGTCGCACAAAGGGGAGGGACCTACAGTTTTACGCCGACTCCTGCCGGGGGCCGACCACTATTACAAAAAACATTTTCTTTTTTATGTTGGCCGGAACTGGGCTCGGACGCTCACCCTGCGGAATGGTAGTGCGCACTTCTAACCACTACACCACAGCGATCGCTTAATTAAATTTAATCATTAATCGCGACTAACCATTTATTCGTTAATTTTTAATCATTCATAGACTAACATTTTGTCGACAATACTCGCATAAGATAGTCCCAAATTTTCACAAAAGAGAAAAGTGATTTTCTTCAAAACTTTTGAATGACGTCTTGACTGAACTAACTAATTCGGAATTTCTACTATTACTTATAGAGTAGGCTATTCATAAAGTCTGGGTAATGAAAAAAAAATCTATTATATGTTCCATAAATATTAGGGGACTTTTATTGTTTAATTTATTTTTTGCATATAAACTTGTATCTTGAACTTCTTTTTCCAAAAAGTGAGGATGTCAAAATTTTAATAGATATCGGATGTACGACAATTTTCTAAAAAGGTCTCTTAATAGATTAGTTCGTGAAAATTATTCCAAACGAAAACTTAAAATTGATCAAAAAATCTTAACTAAATTTAACTAATTTATATTAGAAGTTTTAAATTTATCCCACTGTAAGTGTGAAATAAGTTGCTATGTGTTTCCATGATACAAAAAACCACTTGACAATTAAGCATATTGTAAAATTTCATGCTACCATACGCAGTATCTAAAATTCTTCAAATTTTATTATTAATTTTTCGTTTGTTTAAAAACATTGTATGCTTAGAATCGAAATTTTACCAAGAAAAATGTCTTTTGTTTTTTAAATAAATGAGGCTAATGCTCAATAAGTTGATAATTGTTGTTCTCATTTGCATACTTCACACCAACTCCAATATTGAACAGTGAACTATATTTTAATTTCGCCCAAATAAACAACGATATAGTTTAATGGTCAAGCACATATGGAGGATTCAGAAGAGGTGTTAAGTGCCGTAATGTGTTAAAGTCTTAAAATTTTTAAATGTAAAATAACACCTAATACTTCTTTAGGCATTTTTTAACATAACCAAAATGTTTTTAAACTAGTAGGAAATATATTATTGGCTCTTATTATACCCAACGAATCTTTCAAATAGCTTTAACCGTTACTTTATATTGAACAAATTTAAGCCTTTAAGACATTACGACGTCTAACACGAATTGTGAATCCCCTAAATATGCAGTAAATTACACATCAAAATTTGTAATTTTAGTGTTCATTACATCAGAAACAATCGCACCCGATATATAAAACTGTAATAGTCCTGTTACATTGTGAAATAATCAGATGGCATAAAGACACTAAATATTTTTAAAATAAGTTCACTAAAATTTTAATAACCTCAATGTAAAGTTTTTGCGAAGTGTTAATCGAATTTAATGTAAAATTTAAACATTTTTAATACAAGATATTAACTATTTTTAAACGGTAAATGTTAATACATTTTATATATAATCCCAAATTTATGATATAAAATCCCCTCTACCAAAAAACTTAAATTGGGTAACACCGCTTCGAATTTTTACTATTGAGCAATTTTCAAAAATCTGCCTTTTTATCAAAAAGTTGTTTACCAGGGTGTCTTTGAACTAATGATTGGTACTGAATTAAAGAATGCACACACATAAAAGATTGCAGCCTTTTCAATACTCATTCAATGTTAAACCTTTTTTTGATTTGGCATTGGTGTTTGCAATCTTGCTATGAATATGTTGGTGTGTGAATTCATAACTGCTTTGAGTGAATGGAAAATTTAAAAATTATAAACGACGAATTCGAACGACATGGACAAGCCAGCGGAGCCGCTGAATTTCAATTCGCCGCACTATGTCTATATCGTTGTAAAGCTCATACAGCTCATCGTTAAATCGTCTGCGGTATTCGCCATCGCCAACGCGTAAAGGTCCGTAAATCTTTCGCAAGATCATTTTCTCGAAAACTCCAAGAGTCGCTTCATCAGAAGTTTTCATTTTCCATGCCTCCACGCCATACGCCAGCACAGGCATGATGAGTGACTTATAGAGCGTGATCTTTGTACGACGAGAGAGGACTTTACTTCTCAATTACCTACTCAGTCCAAAGTAGCACTTGTTGGCAAGAGTGATTCTCCGTTGGATTTCAAGGCTGACATTACTATTGGTGTTAATGCTGGTTCCTAAATACCGAAGTCGTCTACTTTTTCAAACTTGTAACTGTCAATAGTTACGTATGTGCCAAGACGCGTAAGCTCTGACTGTTTGTGTGATGACAGGAGATACTTCGTTTTGTCCCCGTTCACCACCACCACGTTCGCTTTGCTTCTCTATCCAATCCAGAGAAGGCAGAACAGACGTAGCCCTTGTTTTTACCGATAATATCGATGTCATCAGCATTCGCCATTTAATAATAATTCATTAATATATAATTTGGGCAACATAGTGTATTCAATAATCCTTCTCCCTAAAAGTAAACATTTAGACTTGGGCGGGTTAGGAAACAAACAGTTTTCAACAGCTCACGAGTTTATTTTATTTAAATTTACATTCAACAGCGAAATACAGGTATTGACATCGTAATATCACTGTTTGCATAAATTTGGACGTCATCACGGTACATATGTATGTATATTCCACTTACATATCTCAGTTGTTAACTCATTTATGTACAATAAAAATAACAATGGGCCCAGAATGGAGCCTTTTAGAACGCCACGGTTTAAGGGCAAAAAGTCTGACAGGCCGTTGTTTGGGAATATAGCTTGACAGCGACCAGTTAGGTAAGAGCTTAATAATTTTACAGAGTGGTACGAGAAATTGAAATTACTGGGAAGTTTTCTACATAATATTCTTTGATTTACGGTGTCAAAAGATTTAGAATTATCTAAGAGAATCAAAACTTCAAAATTTCATAAATCAAGGTCAGCGCGTATATCGCTTTAACCACATCGGTTAAAGCGGCAATGCATCCACAATTTTTTCTAAATCCAGACATTTTATATGAAATAAATTTTTAGTTGTTAAAAATTCGTCCATTTGTTTATAAAGAATGTGTTCAAAAACCTTAGATAAAAAAGGTAGGACAGCGATGGGTATATATTCATTATGACTCTTTGGTATTGGGATAATTTTTGCGTTTTTCCAGCTGGGTGGATATGCGGAAGTTGTGAGTATCATATTAAAGACATGTTATGAAAAATTGAAGCATAAAATGGAGCAAAGATTTTATAAATGTAGGATGAAGTTTATCTAGACCGACGGTATTGGACTTTATTGACAAATCCGATTCCGAAACATCTAACTGACTTGCACATACAAACTTAAACGAGCTGTTACATGCATTATCACGGATTTGGTAATCATAATATATTTCGTTATCACAGGCGTATAAGTTTGAAGCAAAATCAGCATTGAGCTTTTTGATATCATCAATGTTTATGGCACGTACATGTTTGCTGAATAGATTTATCTTCTTTATTTCATTCCAATTACCTTTACTTCCCAAGATTTGGGAGAATTTCTTTTCATAATATAGCCTTTTTGCATTTCTAATCTTTTTCGCGACCTCATTTCTGATCGAACAAAAATTTCCATACAACAAGGCAAGGCTCAAACGTTTCCATCCCTTATAAGCATTGTTTTATTGTGTTTATCTTCGTACCAAGCTGTTTTTAAATCTCTATAGGTGAGGTGAGGGTAGAGGTTATAGGCTGAAAGTCATAAACGAGGAATACAGCCACGAATTGGTCTAACATTAACGTTTTTGAAACATCACTAACAAAGAAAAGATATAAATATGCTTGTTGCAGTATAATGTGTAGGAAGGGTGAAATTCATAAGGTTAAGACTCAATGTTCGCAGTTCACTAGGAAAAGAGTCGTCGCATACAACGTTACAGTTAAACTCACCAGTCAGAATTACATTTGAATACGACAAAATGATTGTGTGAATAAGCTCAGTAAATGAACTAATGTTTACATTGCGATTAGATATGTAAATGCTCCCAATCAATACATAATTTATCGACGCCTTGCACAACTTCAATAAAAAGGTACTAAATTTTATCGTCGGTCCTTGAATTGCTAATGGTTATGCTCTTAATGCCATTCTTTATACATGACTCCATGACTGGGCCGATCACAGCGAAACAATTTGTAACCATTCATGTTAAAATGATTATCTATGTAGCGTGGTTTAAACCCAGTTTCAGATATGCATATTATGTCTACAGAATAGAATTCAAAAATATATCTGAACTCATCAATTTTGTTCTTCAGACTTTGAGAGTTTATGTGACAAATTTCCAAACCACTTTTCTGTTTACAAAGTACTTTAATTGTATGTATAAGTAAGATTCTATACTGACTCAATTTGTATTCGTATATAATAATAATAATAGATTGGCGCTTACACATATGTTAGTGTTTGGCCGAGCTTCTCCTCCGATTTGTGGCGTGCGCCTTGATGTTGTCACACAAAGCGGAGGGACCTACAGTTTTACGCCGACTCCGAACGGCGATTGTATTTTTATGAGAAGCTGTTTTTCATGGCAGAAATACACTCGGAGGTTTGCCATTGCCTGGCGAGGGACGACCGCTATTAAGAAAAAACCTTTTTTCTTTATTTTTGCGATATTGCTTTGACCAGAGTTTGAACCCAGGTGCTGCGGAGTGGAAGTGCGCACTGCTTACCACTACACCACAGCGGTCGACATTCGTATATATGATAAGGATAACTCTAATGTACGTATATGTGTGTATAAGTAAGATTTTATACGGACGTAATTTATATTCAGAAAATGTTGATTACTTACCCAGTGTGGGAGGGGTGACTCCAGTTAGCTGCGTAGTCATGGCGAGCGGCATTTGCAGTAGATGGGTCATGTGTGATTGCATCGCCTGCGGCGTATACGTCATGCCGTTGTTATCTTGCTGCTGCTGTTGTTGGGTTTGAGCGACTACATGACTGTGAGGCTGAAGTGATTGTGTTGATGGATAATTGTGAGCGCCTAGCGTTGCTAGAGTTATCAGATTCTGCATCGAAATAGATCTAGTTGAGAGTAGTCCATTGTCAGCGGTAGCGGCCGATAGAGATGCGGTTGGAACGCTGTGATCCGGTGGGAAATTTAGTCCTGATATTACCGTTTATTTTTTTTTTGTTTTTCAAAGATTGTAGGACGTATTTTCGATGTGGTTTAAATTTTGATTGTGGTTTTATGATTTTGATTTGGGTTTTTGTACATGATCACAGAGTCAATCATAGAGACACACCAACAAATGTTCAACGAATATAAAAATAAATATAGAAGAAAATACACACCCAATTGGATTATTTACAATTACAAAATTATTTTAGGCTATTTGCAGTTTAATTAAAATTCAAAAATATTCAAAAAACCAAAACATGCATATAAACATGCATTCCATAGATATGCGTTAAAATCATACATACAAATTAAGAAAACACAAATAGTTTCAAAGAGCAACACATGATACAAAAAGCAATTTTTAGTCAACTCATTTTAAATTAATTTAAACCAAATGCAGGTGAGACTGTTTTGGTTTATATTCCCATTTGCCATTCTGATTCAATAACTTCGTTTCATTTGAGTTGTTGGATTTAAATTACACTGTGCAACAGCATTTTTGGGGGCGCAATAATTCCAACGCAGGATGAAAGACCTAGACCCGTATAGTAAAACCTCAAAATCGTTTTGCATTCTTTGGTCAAATTTCTTTGCTATGGCCATTTTAAATGAAAGGGTCTTTTTGGCCCTTTTTTTAGAAAGTCCGAATAAAATGGCATTTTCAAGGTCGCTAGAGGGTTAAAATCTTGTAGGAATCCAGAATCTGCAAGTCCACAGAAAATAAAAAATCATATATCCCCAAATTAGCAATTTTCAATTAGTTCGAACTTTCGCATGACTCGACAGTTTTTATTCGCACACATAATTTTCGCTGGTTAATTAACCTAAATCAGGTTACAGGTTACATATATTGTGTAGATCATGTAAATTCAAAAAAGGGACCACCGTACATATTTTCAAGCCAAATCAATACTAATATATATTTTGAAAGCCGTTTTTTTCTGTTCGCAAAGCTCGAGATAGGCTGTACCGATTTTTTTTTAATTTTGGTTATAGGTTCTGGATGGGCTTCTCATTGTCCTAGGCAAAAAAAATTGGAATACTTCTCGAAAATGGAAATGCAGGACTTTAAAAATCCTATAGAATCTAACATACATGCCCACATAACAGCGCTGCTTACCTGCAAATCACAAATGAGAGCGCTCTCTGCTGTTAATTCGTGCGAAATACACCGCAAAGCAAGGGTTATGTGTACATATCAGGGCAGCCAACTCATTTTTGAGAATTCCCTGATTTTGACTTTGAAATTCCCCGATTTCGCCCGAGATTTCGTAAAATTCCCCACCCATCCTTATTAAAAAAAATTTGTATTTTGATATATTGCTGGTATTTCTATTTATTTTATTTATTAATGTAATTTATCTATGTACTCATAAATCAAACCAAACTTTTGTAAAGTTAGTTAACAAGTAAAGAATACAAATGTCAATGTAATACTTACATACATACAGTAGTCGAAAAAATTTTAGTCGCACCAAATTTTGACAAGTTTTCACAATTATTATTTTTTTTTATATAAAATTTGAGTTATTTTTTTATAAAAATATAGTTAATTTTCCAATAAAAACCGTATAAATCCAAATTTAAAAATTTACGCAATATTAAAAAAATTCAGCAAACTTTCGTAAAAATTTCGAGCTTTTTTAAGTCGATTCCCTAGAAAGATTTTGGGTATGCAGTATTGTAGCCTACTCACTTCTAGTATAATAAAGTGCAAGTTTCAAGTGGCTTAAAATTTTCCTTTTAGAATTTTGTTTGGTGTTGGTTGCGGTTTTCTTCCATATAAAAATAAACTGGTTTGTTCACTATAGGAAAGCAAATGCGACAAAAAAAATTCTAAAAAATCAAAAAGTTATTTGCATAATTGGCAGAGTTGCAAAATCACTACTTTTAGTTGCAGCTGTATTTCTTATGCAACTTTTTTAACTCATTATGAAATTAATGAAGCAAAAAAGAAAAAATTAGTCACAACTAATTCCTCACAAAAAGCCGGTTCATCCACCGATTCCCCACGTAAACTGAAATTCCCCACAAAAAA